CAGGTGTCCGGTATTAACATTCTTCCCCTGCTATGTCGGGCGGGGCAGGGGAGAGAAGTAGGGTGATTTAAACATGCAGTGACTTTTGTATGGTGGGGTTTTTTTGTTTTTGTTTTTGCTCAACAACTATAGTCCCCCATTTTTTTCTCAACCAATTTTTCCCCCACTATGTTTGGTATTTTTTGTGAAAGTATCTGGCAATTCTATTTGCAACTATTTTTTAAATAATAATTGGAAGTGATTCACTAAGACAGACTGACACACTGAATGTTTTGTAAGGCAAGACCCTACTTCACCAAAGCAAATACTGCCTAAAGTTAAATATGGGCTTAGACTCAGCTGGAGTTAGAACAAAATACAGGACTATGTAGCACTTTAAAGACTAACAAGATGGTTTATTAGATGATGAGCTTTTGTGGGCCAGACCCACTTCCTCAGATCAAAACTTTATAGATCTTTATAGATTTATAGAGACTTTATACCACTGGTTCCTAAACTTTTCCAGAGGGGGACTCATTTTGACAATTCAGGAAGACTGGGTGACCTAAGGCAATTCAAAAATGGTGGGAGGAAGAAGAGGGGCAGAGCCATCTGGGGAGACACTTGGTGACCCTTTTGAAATGTAAGGGCAACCCATATTTGGGTCCTGACCTATTGGTTGGGAAACCCTGCTTTATATGAATGCTCAGAGTTACACATAGGCTTCATAGCTTTGCTTAATTGGGATCTGAAATGTGAGACAGGCCAGTCCCCGAATCGTTACTCTACACCAGCACTCTCTCCCAAATGTTTTGAGGCCTTTTGCATTATGCGGTTCCACTTTATCAATGACCATGTGTATGTTTTTTGGCCTTGTTTGTGGAAGGGGTGAGAGAAGCCAAAGCCAGACGTTTTAACTTGCACAAGGCACGGCTGCCTACAATTGTACTTAAAACAAGCATTATTATCAGTCTCCTTGCCCATGACAGTAACAAGTAGTTGCTCTACAGCCACACCAGGGAGGTCAAATATAGCCCTTATCAGCTGGGCCACTTGTGCGACTCTGGGCCAGAGGCCCTGCGGGGGGGTGGGAAGAGGGTGCCTGTGGTGTGGGAACCAGGATATTCAGGTTGTGGAGTGGACTGGCGAGGCGGTAGGGAGCCTGCAAGGGAAAAGTGTTTGTCAGGGTGTGGAGGAGCCTCTGTGTGAGGGTGTGGAGGGTTGGGAGTGGTGGGGCAGCAGCCCTACC